GTTCCTTTAAAATAGCACTGTTTATCTTGACAATCATACCTGTGGGTTAGTGCACCGAATACCATCAATCCACTCCATCACTAGAACACGTGGACCACAAAGCTGTTTGTAAACCCGAGGAATTTTAACCGTAGGATCACCTTTGAAGTTCACAATAAAATCTTCAATGTTGCGGGCTTCCTGTATTACAGGAAACAGAGTTTCACTAGTAATTCGAAAGGTCAAAATAAAAATGCAATCATAGTGGTTGTTCAAACTGCAATTCAAGTCATGATGATAATGAAGCCGTAGGAATAAATATAATGCCATCAAGGTTCATTTTTTGTGCTATAGCGCAGGTCTGAAATGTACCAAAGTGTAATCAAGCTCCTCCAAAAGCTTCTCACCAAATTCATCAACAATCAGCTCAGCATTGCACCCCAGTTTCTGTAGACTGATGCCATTCAAGAATGAAGCAAGAGTACGGAATAGAAAAAGATCCCGGTAAATTATAGGTTCTATCTCCGGCCTTTGAACCTGTAAGTATTAAAAAAATAAAAATAAAAATATAGATTGTTTTCAGGATTTTTGCCACAGTAACCTTTTCATCATTTTTGCAACATAATAATTGTGGAGCTGTTAATGACCTAAGAAAAGGCCCTTATGTAAACCTTAATAGCAACTTCCTCTCCAGAGTCACGTAACGTAGCTCGGTAAACTTGACCTAAACTGGCAGCTGCTATCGTCCGAGATGAAATTTTACTGAAAACAGCTTCTAGGGGTCGACCCAATTCCTCTTCTATTATATTGAAGGCAACCTGAACCAATGTCATGCCATATTCTATTTTAAGTTATCTAAACTCCACAGAACAAAATTGTCTCATCCCAGATACGAGCAACAAGAATTTTTTTTTGTTGGTAAAATGAGTTTTTACCTGATTGGGGAAGGAAGGAACGTCATCTTGAAGAATGCACAGTTCATTCATATAATCTTCTCTGATAATATCAGGTCTGTTTGCAAGAACCTTTCAATACATGGGTGAAATCAGGCATATGTATATTTGAGCAAATATATGAACCTAAAATTCAATGGCTGAGTACAACTAGATTTCAAATTGGTATGCGGAGAGAAATTTTCCACTTTGATACTTCATACTACAACTGAAGTAACATGGTGACAATTTCATTCTAATTTTTCTTATATCGATCTGAATTTCAGAAAGCTATGTGAATAGACCATAAAAACCATTGAAGTTATTTAAGAACAATCTTACAATTAAAAAATTAAACAGTCAAAACTCTGATTATAATCTCAAAAAATATTTATCCCAAATGCATCGGATCGACCACAATGAAGGGTGCCTCCTATTACATCTAATCTAACCTTTTAGATCTTTACATCTTTACTTCTTCATTGCATTCTTGATCTTAAATATTAAAACCTGATTGGAAAACTTACAGCTAATGCATCATTTTTTGTTGCTATTTTCAGCTAATGCAGTGGAAATATACTGACATATTTCAACTAGGAAAATAGGATACGACTGATATGAGGGAGGTGCAAACCTGGCCGGCTTTGATGAAAGAAGGCCCCAAATCACACAGGAGGTTTCTAAGCTGCCGAGCACGAAATGGAACAACTTCTTCATCCCTTCCGACGAAGCAGTCATACGTCAAGGCAGACCAGTACAATCCCAAACTCCACACAATCTCCACGCCTCGCGAAATTAGAGACACAATTGCCCCTCTGGATCCCAACACCTTATTCCTCACCTAATTATATACAACAGCATCAAATCCAAATACCTTCTCATCATCCATATTTCAAAAGAAACTAGATGATCATCAAATTCGCCCAAAATTAAACACAAATTCAATTAGAAACATAACAAACTAAATCAATTACAATTTCCAACCAGGATTGAATCATTTGCGTCCCGTCATATTCAACTTTCATTATCAACAACGTTAACATACAACTTCACAACAAAAATTAAAAGAAATGAATAAAATATAATATAAATTCAATGAACTAGAGTTGAATTTCGTACATTTTCGGGTGTGTACTTGCGGAACGGCACGCAAACGCCGCGTTCGAAGTCGAGCTGCTCCATGGCGGCGCTAGGCTTGTTCGATGGCTCCAACCTGCTCCCACCGCCGCTCCCCAAGCTCCTCTGCGTTTCGATTGCGGACGACGCAACGTTCAAAACTCGGAATTGCAACGGTCTCTTGCCTCTCCGTATTCGAAGCCTGTACCTAAACGACGTCGGAGCTTGCAACGGCGCATTTAATCTGTGGCTTGGAACAGCGTGAGCTATCGAGCTTAGGTGCTTGGTAGGAGATGGAGCTGTGCTTGTGCAATTTACACACAGGAAGTCCATGGCTTCTGCTTTCTCAGTGGAAGTGAGAGAGAGAAAGAAGGTGGTGGTAGAAGGGGATGATCTTTGGTGGTTAAAAGAGGAAGTGAGCAAGTGAGCAACGCTTTCAAAAATTAGTTGGAAAAAACGGATATTATATTATATATTTGTGTGAGCCATGGCCGGCCACATAAACGTTTTGGGAAGTAGTTTGGATTATTAGTTCAAAACGAAAGGAAAAGTGGGAATTGTGAAAGTGAAAGGCTGCAACGCAAATCTTGTCTTTAGGATCATTTCTTTTAATTATAAATATCTATGTTATATTTTTCAGTAATTACGATAAGACTTTAATACCTGATTGTGGGTAATAAAAAATTGCTCGCTACAGCTCACTTTGGCCATTCATAGATCGGGTCTTTATATGGAGTCATATCGGACACATTAGGTCATTGGAAAATATTTTGGTCATGTTTACTGATGATGGAGTTGCACATGGGTTGGCTCGTTTCGCTTTATTTATGAACTATTGTTTACTGATTTGGGTTTTGTTTGATGTGTACGTATATATTGTCCCTTAAAATGCTTTTGTTGGACTTTATTTATTTAAGTTTACTTTGATTGTTATGTTTTTGGTTTGAATGTCGGTCCAATGTTTCAATTTATCTGATATTTTGGAAGTATATAGAAATATTAGACCGATATCTAGACCAAAAACATAACAATCAAAGAAAATTCAAATAAGCAAAGTTCAACAAAAGCCTTTCAAGGGACAATATAAAACCTAAAATATATACATACCCTCCTCACTCCACGAAAGCATCGTATCTTGCACACCGGTTGGAAAATCTACTTGTTCCGACACCAAGAATGAAAGCAAAATAGTCTGACACTTGAGTTAATAAAAAGGGTTAAATGAAGAAGTTTTGAGCTCATGCAAATTCCACAACAAGCTTGTCAAAACTTGGTCCTAAAGATTATGTTTCTCCTTTTCAGAAAATAAGAAAAACCTCTTCAATTGAATGTGAAGCTTTGATATAACGATCTTAAACTCTCCAGCAGAAGAACAGACAAATTGGCAAGCAGGGCATGATCAGACACAGACATGTCTTTTGCTTGGAATGCAGGATTGCTGCTCATCTTGATCACGTTTTCTTTGGCAAGAACTATGAGGTTTTCTAGCTGATTCCATTGGAAAACACCATCTTTAAAATAGTAGAAGCAGATTATTAAGCCTTAAATAGTAGAAACAGATTACTAACCTTTAGGACCACAAATGACACCAAAAAAAAAACATTAAGGATGCAATTTAATAGTTTCGTAAACCTTATGGACGTTTTGTGATATTAAGCCTTAAATAGTACCTAAAAGCAGAAGCAGATTATTATCAAATCAACGTACTCACCTTTTCGTTTCTTTATTCATTTCTCCACGTGTGAATATGTTTATTAATTTTGTTACAAATCAATTCATGACTGTTACATATGGTGCCAATTAAACCCCATATTAGGAGAACATTTTATAAAATGATCGTTACATAAAAAGAATGTGATGCTAAAATGAATTTTATATAACGATCATTTTATAAAATGTTCTCCTAATATGGGGGTTAATTAGCACCATACATAACAGTCATGAATTGATTTGTAGCAAAATTAATAAACATATTCACATGTGGAGAAATGAATAAAGAAGCAAAAAGGTGAGTATGTTAGCTTTGACGAAACAAGCCCCAAATCACACCGAAATTTATGAATATCAACTATCATCAGCTTTGCACCCTCTGATCTTTACAGGAGATGAAAGGGACTCTTCCCTATAAGTACCATGATCAGTCCCACAACTTGTAGAGGGGCATCCAGGTAATATGCATGATAAAATAGTATAGCATATATACATGACAACAAAGAAGAATAAAAATGGTAACTTAACAAATGCATGAATGTTCAATCACACAAAAAACCCAAGTTCAAGCTCCATGTCATCCGGTATAGTCGATATATGAGATGGAATTGGTAAATCATATACTTTTGTTTTTCATTTTGGCAAATTTATCTTTGCGAAAAAATTTCACGCCAAATGAGAAAATGAAACCCTCTATCCAGCTGGTGTTTCATTTATTTTATTATGAGAGATCAAGACAAACATTAGCTACGTTTTTATGACTAATATTCCCCGATTAACTATGTTGATGTTTTTCAATTTAGAAAAACACAGTGATTGTTCAAAAGTAATGTGGATTAAATTAATTAAACACCAACGTCTTCATGTGCATTTGTCAACATATAAATTAAAAGATGAGAAGATGCGTGATTAAAGGAATTGTGAGCTCAACATAAATGACATATATAACCAAGGACATTATCCCTTTTTCAAGATAAACAATTTGGTTTGCTTGCATCCCTTTTCTGATTATGTTTAACCTCTTGTGTTCGTACTCTATGACACTTATCTTTGTGAGAAAATTCTATCCTATCATAACATTGGGAAAGAAAAAAAGAAAAAAAGAAAAAGTTTAAAACATAATTCGATTTTTTTTATTAATATAAAAAGAAAGGAAAAGGATAAAATCGATTTTACCCATAATAGGGAAATGAGGAAGAAAAAGATTTAGCGGGAAAATTAAAAGTCGAAACAAGATTGGCGGGAAGACCATTTGCATTCCCGAATCTCAAATATAAATAACATCAAATCATCTCATACCCCACTTTCCCTCTCTTTCCTTTCTCAGATAAATTTCTCTCTCCCAGGGTTTCAGCGATGTTCTCAAGCAGCCAATTCGACTCCACCTCCGCCTTCTCCGGCGGCGGCTTCATGGCTTCTCAGTCTACTCAGTTCGGTGATTCAACTCCATCTCCGGCCAAGGTAACGCATCTCCTCCACTCTATCATATGCATCCCTTAGCTTCTCGAATAACTGCAAAATGAAAAGTATATTGCGTTTGTATTTGTGATAGTTAAATGACGACTTAGGGTTTCGATCTGAGTCAATGTTTGGTTGCTTGCCCTTCAATTTCCTGGCAACCAAACAAGGGGTTTTATTTCGATATTATTTTTATTTTATTACTTGTTGAGGAATTGTTGCTTTGATTGTTGTTGCAGAGTCGCGAGACTCACGGGTTGGTTCCTGTGACAGTGAAGCAGATAAGCGAAGCCCATCAATCTGGTGATGAAAAATCAAATTTTGTGATCAGCGGGGCAGATGTTGCTAATGTACTAACTTTTTTTGAAAAATCAACACATTTAAGTTTTCTTTTCTTAAAAAGTTTTAATTAAAATTATATGTGGTTGGTTTAGGTATCGGTGGTTGGCATGGTATTTGATAAATCTGAAAGGAACACTGATGTTGGTTTCACTATTGACGATGGAACAGGGCGAATCAAATGCCGAAGATGGTAATGTTTGCATATTTTTAGTTAGATACAGTTTATATCATCACATTTTTAACAGCTTGAATAATTTGTTTAGATTTTGTTGTTCCATGTAATGCACAATTTATAGTAACAGAAGCTAAAAATGTGTTTCAATTATACATACTACTTTCTTGCACAAAGATAGATAGATTGATCAGTAACGATTTAAGTTCTGAGTCCACCCTGCTTTCTGATAATGAGTAACTCTATTTTTTGTTCTCTTAATAGGGTGAATGAGAACTTTGACTCAAGAGAAATGCAGGAAATAGAGTAAGTTGCACTCTCTATCATCAGTGAGTTTTGTATTGAAATTTTAAGCCTTATTATTGACATCAGATATAAAGAGCAGCCAACTCATTATGAGGTTCTTATGTATTATTTTCCAATTGATACAGAGATGGAATGTATGTTCGTGTTAATGGACACTTGAAAGTCTTTCAAGGTGTTCGACAAATAGTTGCCTTCTCCGTGAGGTATGGTACGAAAGATGTTCCTTTTAGTTTGAGCAATTTAGATGTCTTGAGATTTTCAATTGTTTTAATGCCATATGATTCACATTTCTCATTGTACCTAGCCACTTAGCTTTACCAATGCATCATATAACTAATTCCAATATGTCAATTGAGGTGGGATGATGCAACTAAAACAGGTGCCATGTTATATTCACTCATAATCAACACACAGGTGCACAGTGCACGCACACACAAACACTTGAACTTTTCAATATGGTTGAAACAACACATAGAAATTTGTGTCAATCTTAATATAGATGTCTTACTATCAGGAATAGTTGATTGGGAGAATGTTTTCAATCGTACAATACTGTATTGTTAAAGAAGTTAGATTTCAGACAACTCTTGTAAAATATTGTTGAGTTTTACTTTAATTTTGGATCTTTGTTCTTTTAATGTTTTGCTAAAGAATTATTATTTACAGAATTTTGGGTTGTGTTGCAGGCCTGTGAAAAACTTTGATGAAGTTACCTTTCACTTCATTGAATGCATACATACCCACTTACAGACATCAAAGTTACAGGTATCAATAATAACTTGAATCGATGAAACAATTACCTTGTTTTACACCTTCATTCACTTGAAGGTGAATTTGGATAGAATCCATATCTTATGTCTTTTATATTTGTTCATGGTGTATTTACATTCATTAAAGCTGCAAGGAAATTCTGCAACTCAACCTCAGTCTGTGGACTCATCTCTTAGCACTCCTGTGCGGAGTGGGTTAAGTGGATACCAGACAGCCCCATCAAACCAAGTAAGCTATCTAACTATGAAAAATTTACATTTCAAGCTGTCCTGTTCTTGTTTAGCATGCAATTAATGTTCAATTTTGCAGTTCTCCGGGCAAGTTAGTGTTGATGGGATAAAGGGCTGTGATCAGTTGGTCCTTGACTATCTGCAGCAGCCTTCAAGCATGTGAGTTACCATGAACTTGTTTCCCCTGTTTTGGTTTTTGTTAGTATTGCCTTGTTTTGTGTAAGATATGTTGGCTGCGGCTGCCTATGTTGAACTCTTGGTACTGGTTTTCTATTGCAGTGGAAAAGAAAAGGGGATACACAGAGATGAACTTTCCCAGCACCTGAAAGTCCCTGTGGAAAAGATATTGTACTCTCTCTCTCTCTCTCACCACATCCAATTATGCATGCAGGAGTGACTTCTTTTGATTCTTATTCTTGATTTCACATTTCTATTTCAGGGAAGCAATCAGGTCTCTTGAAGAGGAAGGCTTAATATATTCCACGATTGATGAGTTTCACTACAAGTCAGCAGCATATGGCTAAGTATTTGTCACGAATTTTGACTTTGTGCTGCTATGGTTGGAAACGAAAGTAACTTAAATGAATGCTGTTATGTATATTTCTCTTTTAATATCTTTTTATGTCCATTTGGATGGGTTTAGTACCAAAGTTCAAACAATTACATTTGCTGTTTTGGTTGATACCAAAAATATTCTGGATTGAACATTCAGTATTAAATACTACAATAGTCACAGTAGTTAAATGTCATTTAACTAATTTGTTCTGTGTTTATTTAAAAACTAAATTGTTAAAATCAAGAGGAAAGATAACACTACCTGCCTAGCCATTGAATTCGAAGATCCGAGGTTGATAAAGGTTTCGTCTATGTATTATTTGTCACTCATTTTTATTCTTCTTATAATTTCTAGAGTGTCAACATCAACTTAGAATTTGAATTAATGTGAAGCCAAAAAGGAATTAAAGAGTTCAAATATAAGTCAACTGCATATGGTTGAATTTTGTTACCAAGTTAACTTGAAAAAGTGACTTATATGAATGTTGTTATGATAGATTTCTCTTACATTTCTTTCGTGAAATAGAGGGTGAGATTAAAAAAATAATAATAAAGGAAGATAATACGGCCTAGCCATTGAAGGGGAGGTTGAATTTTGGAGGGGGGATGGTTGATAAACATTTCGTCTGTATTGGTAGCCACCCTAATTTATTTTTATTTATTTATAATTTCTAGAGTGTTTCAGTGTATACAGGACACAAAACCAACTTAGAATTCGAATGAAGAACAAAAGGAAATAAGAGTTTAAGTTTAAATACAACTAAACACAAAGTTAAAAAGAAAAATGTTTGTTTAGAATTCTAAGTGATTTAGGAAAGAATCAACTACAAGTTGAACCGAAAATTTAGGCATTTAATTACCAAATTAAGTTTAACTTTTACGCCGATTAGATTGTTGGAAAAATGGCTCACCTAAAGGATACAAAGGTTTTGGCGCTCAAAGGGAGAATTTGAAACTGCCTAAAAGCGACCGATCGCTGGGAAGTTGCGACCGGTCGTTTCTGGGCAGATTCGAGGTCTGGAGCTAAACCAAGGAGCGACCGGTCGCCAGTTCTTTGCGACCGGTCGCAGGAAGCATAAGCGACCGGTCGCATGGCTTTTACGACCGGTCGTTTAGAAGCAGATTCAACGTCTGGAGAGAAAACCTCTGGCGACCGGTCGCTCCAGTCGTGCTGTGACGTTTCCTTACGTGTTTTCAACTGTGTTTTCGATGGCTATCGCTTTCCACATGATTTCAGAGGCTTAGTGGGTCACTTCTGAGTTAAATAAATGTTGACTACATGCTGGATAAGTTGGGAGAGCACTCATGGCTAGTTGGTTATCTTATTTCAAAGAGATCACTCTCCATTTTCTTGTGTAAGTTGGAGGTGGCTGAGTGGGATATCATTTACCTACTTGATCTGACATTTAGTCTAAGTGGTGACTAAAGGAAGGAACGTGGAGGACAAAGATTGTGTCTTATCTTATGTCCATTGGCTTGTGTAGGAAATGGGGTGAAGTAAGATAACACAAGAGGAGAAAACAAGTTGGATAATTAGGAAGTGGCTGAAGCAGAAGTTTAGTAGTGAGAGAGTTAGAGTTTTAGTTTTGTCAAGATAGCCAAGGGGAGAGCAAGAGAGTTCTCCAAGTGTATCAAGGTGTTGAGCAAGGGTGTGAGAGAAACAGATTGTGAGGGCAGTGTTCTAAGGGGGTTTCCTTTGTAAACCAAAGTTGTAACATATCTTCATTAGTGAAATTTCTCAAGGTGATCACCAAAGAGGATGTAGGGAATTTGCTAAACCTCTATAAACACTTGTGTCATTTGTGCTTGGTTAATTTCTGTGTGTGTGTGTAAGACTCATCCATCATTGAGTTCTTTGTCCAAAGTCCATCAACAACAAGATCTTAAAAGGGCAGTGAGTTAGTCATTAATTCACAACATAGACTACATCATGCACAGGACATAGGAGAAAGAAAGACCTCGATGATCTAGGGTTAGCTTATATATAAATTTAGTTCAAAGCCAAGGGATACCCTATTATTATTCTCCATTACCATTAGTGAATAAAATTTCATGTTGTTGACAGATCATAAAAATCAATCAAGCATGTCGACGGAGACGCATCTTTTTCGTAGCACAGTACTTATTACTACGGAAAGTCGAGAAACAGCCCTACCCGAAACTACTGTAATCCAAATCAGTATGGACGACGGGTTAACTTGAAAATTTAGGAATTTAATTACTAACTGCACCCCTCCTTCCTCATTGATCTAGTAGGTAGGTGTACAAAGCACAAACCAATGGCACAATAGAACTGTAACACAACTGGGAAAGAACATCTAGAGTTTGCATAGCTATATATAGCAATATAACTGAGTTGTTACGTATATATATATATATACACTCTTCCAAGTCCAAGTGAAGAGATCCATAAATCAATCAAGCATGGCATGGCTGTGGAAGTATACAGGAGGACATAGAGAACCATCGTATTACGATCTATTATTTTGTCGGCCTAAATTTCGTCATTTGCCTCGAATTTATACTTGTGAGAGTGTCGACTCTTTGTTATGGTAATATAGTGCATGCATGGGCATGGAAACAACAGTTTAGACATCTCTGGAGTTTTTTAGTTTTGAAGCGCACAACGCAAAAGCACAGCAGTTAAATGGGCCAGATAGGGATGCGATGAGTTGGGCCGCAACGTTCTTATGGGTAGTTTCGTAATTCAATTGGTTCATACAATACAACCTTTGATTTCTTCGGCCTCGAGTTTATTCTAATTAATTCATGATGTTTATGATCACAATATTTTTTTTTTTCAAATGTTTGAGCAATATTCGAATTCTTTCTCGTTTCCAATTCCTTTTTTTGTAATCTTTTAACTTTGGGTTGTATCCAATTAAGATTTTGATAAATTCAAAATAATGGTAGGTCATCATGTTTGATGTTGTGCGGATGATACATGCATTAATGGTGGTTGGGATAGTATTGGTAATGATCATGATGGTGGCAGCATGGGCTGGGTGTGGTGGTGACCGATGGTGGTTGAATGGTAGTGATGTGAATGAGTATGGTGTGGGTGACGATGGTGGTGGAAGTTGTGGCGGTGATGGCTATTGCAAAAGAAAAATGAAAGAAGAGAAGAGGGAGATGAGGGGTAATCACCCTTTTAAGTTCAGTAGTGTGAATTTTTGGAACCTCATACAAGCTTTGCTTTACTCACCTCTTGTCAAATCCGGCTTGGATATCATGGGGTATTCTTAAAAGAAAAGATTAGTTAGCATGAAAAATAATAATGCTATTTGAACACACTGAATTGATCACATTATATGGCAGATGATGTGTACAAGCCACCTTAATTATGAGATATTTGTTACTATTTGTGATTTGGTTGGTAACAAGATCAATAGACTTTATTCTATATATAACACATAAGTGATTACACATAAATGATTTTGGTTAGTAAAAAGTGATTACTTTGGACTTGCTTTTGATCTACTTTGAAATTTACTATAGGTTTAATCTTGCCATTTTCATAGGCCTAGGCATAACATAAAAGAGTGGTGTGTGGTCACTCTGCTACATTAAATTCGTTTCCTTGGATTTAAAGGGCTGTGCCACACGTGCGCACACACTCCATCTGTGAAAAGCTAAAGTGAAATCCACAATTCCATTTCGACACTTGGCATGTGCCACCTGGCCCTGTGATCTAGAGTCTCCATCTCCTTCACGTGAAACCCCTCCCATTTTGGAGATTTTGATCTTCCTCCCCTCATGCTCATGTTGGGGACCTATATTTGCTTTACAAGAATCATTTCCAATCAATAAAAAGTACTTGTGTTCGATGATTTTGGATAAATTGGTTCTCTTTTCCCTCACATGATTTGGATATTGGATAATGTTTTGTCCCTATTTCTTAATCTTATTCCCCTAAAAATTTCGATAAGAGAAAAAACATTTGGTCCATAAATCCCCCAAAAAAAAGGAAAATATATATCCACCGTGGAATTCTCTGGTCACTTCTTAATATGAAAATTATAAGCAAATTCTAGGGAAAATTTAGTTGTCGTGACGACGATAAGCTTTCTTATTTCTTAGTACAAGATTGGAAAAGATTTCTCCTGAAAAATACAGCTTTTATTTTAGGGTATATAGTTAATTAAATAGCTCAAGTTTAATTTTGTGTTTAACTTAATTAATTAGTCATATGACTGTTCCCTTCTTTTTCAGAGAATCATAGCAGTAACTATCAAATCATGGGCATGTCGTTGGTATATATAGCCGTGAGCTGTGCTTAGTCATTGTAATTACAAAACTGGCACTGTCTCTTTCTCAGTAGCAACAACGGATCTATCTATGCTCTCAAAATAATACACATGGTACAAAATGTAAAAATATATATATAGTCGACCCATTTGCTTGAAATCACATGAACTGTTCTTATTAGATGATCACATCAAAGCCAATATTTTACAAAGCAATCCACTCCCCAAATATATAACACAAACAACAACATGTAGATGTACTCTTTATTACAAGCAAATAAAATTAACCCCAAAACATATAAAACACTGACTGAACCAAGACTAAGGATGACATAATTAAAGAAGGAAATGAAAGGTAACAAATGAGACTCACACAAGATTAATTTAGGATACCAACTGATCATCGCAAATAGCTAGCTACATGTCTCGGACATGGAAGATGTTGGGGTTTTTAATGACAATATCGTACATGTAAACGGAGTTGAACTTGGAGAAGTCTCTGGGGAGAGAGATTAGGTCAATGGAAGATCGCTTGTGGAATTGGAAGAGGTCGGGGTCGCCCCCATAGTACCTCTCCCACCCTAACCCGGTCAATATTTGCTCGAGCGTCGAGTAGGACGACACCACCTCTCCACTTGGCAAGTGCACCAAGGCCTTCTTCCTGGAAGATGTCTCAGCCTGTGGATTTTCCAGACGAATCACCCCATTCTTGAAAACCCAAACCCCAGACATTGTCTTTCTTCTTTCTTTGCTTGGTTTTTTGGGTGGTGGGTAGAAGAAGAATTGTAAATTGATGCAAAAATGCTGTTTGTTTGGAGATGAGAGAGAGAGAGAGAGAGAGAGGAGAAGGAAATGAATTGAATTGAATTGCGTTGTGTTGTGTTGTGGCAAAAGAGAAGGGTGGGAGGGGGTATTTATATGTGTCAAAGGGACAAATAAAAACAAGGGGGAAATACTCTTTCAGTGGGAGGGAGAAACTGAAAAGGATGGTGGATTGTGGGCATGTTTGGCTTTGGAAGAGAATCTAGATTAAGTGGGACCCAATGGGATTAAAAATATGAGGGTGCTGCATGGATGGATGATGCCCCTAGGGTTTGATTTAGGGCACAATGATCAGCACCATCCAATTCCCTGGGGTTTGGGTTTGGAGGAATCTTTGTGTAGCTTAAACATTGCAAGCTAAGCTAAATCTAGCTTTTTCGAGTGTGCTTTTTCTTTTTTTATTTAATTTTAAATAATTTTAAATAATTTTGTGATGGGGAATCTTTCATATTGCTAGGGTTGGGGCAATGCATGCCACTATTCATTAATTAAGAAAAGATTCAAAAAAGAAGAAAGTCAATGATGGAAAGAAACCCACTTAGATCACGAGATGTCCACGTGAAGGGAGTGGGAGTGATTGGGGCATATTTTGTGCGGATCTTGGGATGTTGGTGGGTTTGGCGACTGAAAGCAGATCTTTCTGTTGGAGACACGTACCCCTTTGCTACTTGTGATTTTTGGCAACCTTAAAAGCCTTTGCTTTCCTCACGCTGTCTTGTCAAATCAGCTTTGGATTTTGTTTTTGTGATTTTCGAGTCTAGATTTATGAAAAGAAGAAGATTAGTTCATTCAGAGTCTAGACTTTCGAGTTAATTAGTAATGTGATTAGTAAATATACGATTTAGTTAAATATGAGTATGTGAGGATGTGCGGATTTTTATTTGAACTTCGAATTTTATGAATCACAAACTTCCAAAATCATATGCACTTGTTTTCAAGTTTTCATTTTGAAAGTACTTCCGTTTTCACACGGTACGTACTTGTTTTCATATTATTGATTAGTAGAGTTCTTACTTTTACATTCAAGGTTAATTAGCAAATGACTCTAAATATTCGATCCGTAGGTCTTACGTCTCTTTTGAATCAAAAAATGAAAAAGAAAAAGGAAAGTATTCATCTACTACTTATGTACTTGGGGAAGTTGTTGATATTGCTTGATCTAAGGGCAGTTCCAGCAGCCCCCTAGGGCAAGGGCTGGGGGGGGGGGGTAAAACGCCAAAACCCATTTCCAGCAACAAAGTCCAGCCCGGGCAACTACTGGGGTCCACCTGCCTGGGCTGGCCCGAAGGCAGAAACAGCCCGAGTGTTGGCCTGAAGGCTGCTGACGTCATCTGCTACAGTGATCTGCTACAATGCTCTGCTACAGTGCCGCCAACAGCACTCTGACAAGTGTCGCGTTCTGAGCTCTCCGATCAGAATTTTTCCTCCAATCCAACGGCAGCCAATTTTTGTGCAATAAAAAAATGAAAAAAAAATCGATTTTAAAAAAAAAAAATCAAATTTTTTTAAAAAAAATACCCAAAACTCTTCACTTTCAACACCAAATCCTCATACATTTTCTTCTACTTCTACTATTATTCACTTTTTACTCAAGTATTGACAAGTACGAACCCAAAAATTTTATCCGAAAATATTGTCCAAATTAATTGTTTAGGTAAACAAATTTGTGAAAAAAACAAAAAATTGAATAGTACTTGCCCTTTGCCCGGGCAACTGCTGGAAGTGCAACTTACTTTTTGCAAGGGCAGACACTATTCATGTGAATAGTGTCAGCCTTAGCCCCCCCTTGCCATGGCAAGGGTTTGACTGCTGGAAGTGCCCTAAGAAGCAAATTAAAAGAAGGGGAATGCTAGCAACCTTCTCTCTAACCTTCTCCCCTCTTTGCTTGACATGTGTCATTCTCTCTACACTTAAAACAATGCGATGAATATATTATACAAGCTAACTTTTGCTTTCCAAGTTTACCCTTATTACATGCATTCAATTTATCCAAAAAAAATTCACAACTTTCTAACCATCTTATTAATCTTTTTTTAACGTAAATGATTTTTTTTTAAAGAAAATATGTGCTTTTTTTCTTAAAAGAGGAAATGTCCCTTTTTTTTATTTTTTTTATAAAACACAAAGGGTTTAGATTTTTTTTTAAAAAAGTCTAAACTTGACGTTAAAAAAAAAGGGGACATTTCCTCTTTTTTTATAAAAAAAAAAACAGATATTTTCTTTATAAAAAAAATAATAATAAGATGGTAAGAAAGTTGAGAATTTTTTTTGAATAAATTGAATACATGTAATAAGGGTAAACTTGGAAAGCAAAAGTTAGCTTGTATAATATATTCATGGCATTGTTTTAAGTGTAGAGAGAATTACACATGTCAAGTAAAGAGGGGAGAATGTCCAAAGGAGAAGGTTAGAGAGAAGGTTGTTAGCATTTCTCTTAAAGAGAAAAGGATAGTAAGTCTGACAATAAAGTGTGTGGAATTTTTCCTTAAAAAGAAAAACCGTGTGCAATAAATAACATCCCCTTAATATCTAAAAGCAGCAAATTTCGATCATACAAAATGGTTCAAATGATTAAGATAAGACAGTAAATTATTATTGTAAATAATAATTTTCATACTTGGGATTTCTCAACACCACTCAAATAAAATTATATATGTCACACTCAATTCAAACATATAATTGAGCCCTAATGTACAATAATTTGTCACCAAAAGGACCACTTGACTAAGTCTCAATTATCATTGTCAAAAACTTCGTGCTTTCCACAGTTTCACACTCTCAGAATTTTATAATGCTTCAAAAAAAAAGCCATGTTGCCCACATGTCTTCACATGGGCTACAATGGTCCTGTAGCCAGATCGAGGGCTTGGACCTTTGAGCAGCCGTCTTGTCAAATCCATGATTAGGGTTTTACGTAAGGATATTTTGGAGTTTAAACTACCTGCCACGTAGAAGAGATCTGTGGAAAACTTGATGTTCTTCATTTTGAAATTAACATGACAATTGAAGAACCATGCGACAAGATATCAATTTCAGTGCAAATGTTGGTTTGTGATCTCATTAATGGTGCACTTTGTTTGATCTGTTTCTTACTGTGTGCAAATTGCAAGAAGGAAAGTTTTGTTTCGATTAGTCAATCTTTGAGTTTCTTGTGGGTCAGGAAATTCTGTTCTCTTTTTTTTTTATATATATATATAAATCATTTTATCATCGTTGATGTTGTTTGAAGGATCGAAACTTCTCGTGTTAGGGGTTTAATTAATCCGTCAAACTTGATCAATCATGTATGATCGTTTGTATATGTTCTAATAGTACTTCGATATCCTTAATCGTTTGTATATGTTCAACTCTGTCATGAGAATGTCATGAGTTTAAATCTCATGACCAACAATTGTTGAATAAAAAGCATTAACAGTTTGTTGGAAACATATTATTCTTTGTTATATTATTACTTCAAGACTATCAATTGTTAAAAAGATTAGTGGTCCTCAACTTTTGAGTTTGAAAGTTGATTCCCATATGCTCCCCATTGTGCATTGCATATGCAGGTTTTTGTATGCCTTTAGGCATCCAAGCCCTCGAGCACCATATCATCTTTGCTTCTGTATGTTCCTCTTTTCACATGCCCAAGGTCCTAACGATATAGACCTCTCCAATCCTATCCCCATTCACTTTGGAAAATCCTAAATGGTACCCAATTCCTTCAATTTTAGTCCTTTCTATTTTTGTTGCACTTCCTACTCCAGAAATTTCTCTGTAATTATATTTGTTTTTATTTTATTGGATGGAAAAATTGGGCTCACAGCTCAGAAATTGCTACACCACAAAGTTCTTCCCCATGTCAAGTGGATTGCATGCCTGGCATTAGGGTCTACCTCACGACTTGAAGATATTATAGTACGAGTCTATTATGAGGTGTTGCACTCGAGGTTTTCAATCCTCTCTTTTCCAATATCACTTGTATCAAAAGATTCAACTCATCCAATCCAAGTACCGAACAAGTTGCTTTGTGTCTCAGTCACTCTTAAGGCATGTAGACATCAAGTAACTTTAATGAAATTTTACGCTCCGAATTAATTTAGGGTTTTATATTTGGAGGATATATATAATGTTAAGTGATTCAAAACCAGAAAAGAGAATCCCTTCCTTATTACGAGCAGCATATCACTATGATGATGAAATAAAGATGCGCAATGATCATTCTTTCGATAGTTAAGTGATTCAAAACCAGAAAAGAGAATCCCTTCCCTTCCTTACGTGCATATTAATACGATGATGAAATAAAGATGCCAAATGATCATTCTTAATATGTCATATCAATGAGGTGTTTGGATCTTCGAGGACAACTCTAGCTCTACATGATTTTCGATTTTCATATTCTTTTTGTTATATATTCTTCGAATTTTCATACGAATTTCCACATTTTTTTTCCCTCCCATTTTCTTTGTCTACAAAAGTTTTTTGGTGGGGGTGAGCGGTAGATTCCATTAGACACCACAATACATATATATATATATATATATATCGTTTAATATTAGAAGTGAAAAGAATCAAAGGAAAGGCAGCCTCCACTAGAATGTGCTAAGCTCATCACTATCTTTTATATACTCTGATACAATAAAATGAAGAACTTCAGTAATTAACACTTGAAAAACATGGATTGATTTTGATAGCCGAAACTTCTAGATTTAGCCAAAGTTTTCATTATACATTGGCAACGAGCATCTGGCCTATATTCATCGTCATCCAAACTACTATAGAATAAAGGTGAAGCATACAGCTTGCGTTTTTGGACATGGTTAGTTTAATTAATTAATTAATTAATTAATTTTCTAAAAAAAAATATTGGGGGAAGGGGAATCGAACCTAAGACCTAGAATGCAGGGTAAATGATCTTAACCACTTGAGCTACAAACTCTTTGCTTAAACCCATTAACTTAATTACTGTAAATTCGATGCATTTATGCCGTACTTGGATATAATTTATAATCTATATACCTTAATTTTATGATTCGTCCTT